CAACAGGTCCGAACTGCCCACCCGTTTCTTGTAAAACAATAAATAAAGGCAACTTGAGTAACTTTTTTCTCTGACAAAATCGTCGCTCTCTACTGCGAAGCGAGATATTAATAGACAAAGTTGAGGACGTGTTGGCTTAGAAAATCTGTCATACCATCTATCTCTAGCTATGTAACTGGGGGGCTTCGCCCCCCAGACCCCCCTATCAGGGAGGATGGGGGCTATAGTCTCTTATGCTTAATTAAGCTAAAGAGTGAATTTCTCACAAAAGACTGTAGCCCCCACCCCACGTGATAGGGGGTCTGGGGGGCAAAGCCCCCCAGTTACATAGCTAGAGATAGACGGTATGACTGAATAATTACCAATTTTTTAATCAACAATTGTAACAAATTAATAGACTTTTTAATACAATCACATTTTTTACGTTTGTTTCTTACCAAGTACCGTTTTCTACATTGGTACCATAATGTTGTTTTATTAATATTTAACTCGTTATTACATTTACTACACTGTATTGTACATGCTAAAACACCGTGTTGTATTAAAAAGTCTATTAATTTTTGACTGTCGTTAATTAAACATACAAAGTCAAATAAATTTAACATTGTGCATACGTGCGTGCGTAAATAACATGCATAACAACTTACTGTCTTCATTTTCATGTTTTTTGCACTTTAAATTTCGAGCTTTACTAGCGACAACTAAAGAAAACGCATGCGCATGTGGCTACAGAACATGCGCACATGGCGACAGAGCATATTCGTGTCAGTACTTTACGTCTATGTGACAGATTTTCTAACCTAACGTGCGCTCAACTTTGTCTATTAATATCTCGTTTCGCAGTAGAGAGCGACGATTTTGTCAGAAGAAAAAGTTATTTGGCATGCAAAAACGCGTCGATTGAGCCTACTTTCATCGAAATCGGAGGTGAGGCCGCTAAACTGGATAATTACCAATTATTTTAGTGTTAAACACCTACGTCGCGAGTTCTGCACAAATTTGACACATATTAGTAATATTTAGGTTAGGAATATGTTTTCCAATGGCAATTATTGTTCCTCAATTCTGATTGGCCAAAACTTTCATAGTGCAGCTGAAAAGAACAGACCATTTATGTCTATGTACATTTGTGTAGGTTACATATCTTTTTTGTGCTTATGCTACGTTATGTTTATGTTCTACGCATTTTGTGTGCGATAGCCCTTATGCTGATGCCGTGGGTAAGCCTGCGACCTCTCGTTCTGTCTCAGATCATCCGACTAGAGACTCTCTAGTGAGTGATAAATATCAGCGCTCTCTGTCGGGAAATGTTGGAACTACAATGCCGCTCTTCTTTACCATCTGGAATCCCACACGGATCGCCACCCACATACATTTCAGCACACGTGCGACTAAATCGTATCTCTCATCTATTTTTTTTATCTAGCCCTTGAAGTCGTACTCTGATGGTCTCGTAATGTTCATTAATGTTCCTTGCATACAAAATGACTTTCATTTTCTATGACCACCTTTAGAATTTTTTATATGAAGCGAAAATATAATATAGTATATGTAAAATTTTTGTTTGTTTCTTATGTTATATTGGGCTGTTTTGCACACATTGGCATCTCTATTTTTACTCTGTAAAAGCATTTTCAATTCTATGCAGCCGTATGGAAGAATAGTGAGAAATAGATAATGTCGGTATCCAGGATCCCCTTAAGAAAACTAAGTATCCCCTTAATAAGTAAATCTACCCAAAAGTTACACTCCAATTTCTTTCTTTGGCACAAATATAGAAGTATAAAAAATATTTAAATCATATTTTTCATTTTGGCCCACTTTGAGTTTCACGGGCAGTTTATAACTTTTTAATGTTCTCACTTCTATCATCAACAAGTGCAATAAAAATGCACACAAAATAAAAATAAATACAAGATATAGGCATTTTTGGTTTGCTGTTTATGAATAGAAAGTCAAATGTGTAAAATTATTTAAAATAAATTATTTAAATTATTGAAAATCTTTATAATTATAAATTATTTAAAAATAAAAAGTTGAAAAAAAATTAATTGAAAACATAAAAAGTTGAAAAAAAATTAATTGGAAACATAAAAAGTTGAAAAAAAATTAATTGAAAAAAAATAATTTCTTGGTTTGGCCCAGATTTGAACCATTTTTAACTAATTTCACCCAGATTTGAAATATTTTGGTTGGAATCTCGACTAAAGAAATTTAGAATGGTTCGTGTCTCAGCTATGCCGATTTTGTTAAAATTGTAATTAATATTGCTGGATTTCGGTTTGGTTCGGATTTCGAGATTCGAGCCATTTTTGACTAATTTAGCACAGACTTAAAATATTTCGGTTAAAATTTCGGTTAAAGAAATTCAGAATGGTTCGTGTCCTAGCTATGTTGATTTTGTTAAAATTTTAATTAAAATTGCCGGATTTTGGTTTGGCCGAGGTTCAAACCATTTTTGACAAATTTAGCACTGACTTAAAATATTTCGGTTGAAATCTTGGCTAAAGAAATTCAGAATGGTTTGTGTCTGAGCTATACCGATTTTGTTAAAATTATTTAACTATATCTTGTATTCAATTTTATTTCTTATGTATTTTTGTTATACTTGTTGATGATAGGAGTGAGAACATTAAAAAGCTATAAACTACCCCGTGAAACTCAAAGTGGACCAAAATGAAAAAATATGGCTTAAATATTTTTTGTATTTCTACATTTATGCTAAATTAGAAAGAAATTGGAGTGTAACGTTTGGGTAGGTTTACTTATAAGTATTCAATGTGCAGTTTTTCTATATATCGTACAATTATATCGAATTAGCGCGTTTGTTAATTGCCAGTGTTTATTATTCTTATTAATCTCCTAATGTTAACTCTGTAATTTTCTAATATCTCATTGCTTTTAGTCACTTTCACCAGTGTTAATTGTTTGGGACTTTTTTTATAGATACGAGTACGGCGCAGATAATTCGGATAAGCATTTTTATCATTCGTATGTAGCGGCGCATTTGATAGACGGACAATATGGATCTTTAATCGTTCGTGACCCGCCTTCAAGGAATCTTCATGTTGGTTTATACCGGGACCTCCGGGAACACGTAGTAATAATGAGCGATTTGTATCATGAACTTTCTTTGGAACGTCATCCTGATCGATACAGATCAAATAGAGGACAAGTTGCGCAAAACTTTTTAATCAACGACAGAAACGATTGGACGGTGAGAAAGAGATTACAATTCCAACTATCATTATTTACCTTAGTTACGATTTAACAAGCCAAAGTTCAAATTTTCATACTATATTAACAATTACAATATATGAAGTAGGAAGTTCTTTAAATTCCCTTTTTGGGTCTTCGTCATATTATTTCATACTTTAAAAAGTAAAAAAAGAAAAATAAATTATGCTTTTTATTCATAAACTTTGTAAAAATATCCAGGAAAGGGGATAGGGGAGCAATCCTCCCCCCCTCTTTGCAATTTATTTATAAAATTTTAATGGAAGACTAACATCTTTGAAATATATATATGTTCTGCAGAAAAATCTTTGTGATTTGTTATATTTATTCAGCATCATCAACGTATTATATGGCTTTGTTATATTCGAGGTTAATAATTTTAGATTTTTGCAGAATCCTGCGACTGGAATGAGAAAATACATGTCGTATTCAACTCTCAATGTTGTAAGCGGAATAAGATACAGGATTTGCTTCATCAACGCGTGTGGCGCAGTATGTCCGATCAGAGTGTCAATTGAGAATCATTCGATGATGATAATTGTTACAGGCAGTGAAGATATGGAGCCTATAAATGGAATAAATGGATTCAAGTAATGTCTACTCGATGCATACTTGATGCTTCATCTAATTGTAGGTCACATAAAAATACCTCCATTATTTTTAATGGTGCATTAAAGAGAACGAGAAGGCAGTTATTTAAAGAATAATATATTCCTTCGGTTAATAAAATAGAACTCTAGATATTTTGACGAATATTCCATGAACATAGGTGAACGTTTCGATGTTGTTCTGTATGCAAATAAAATTCCGGGTCAGTATTGGATATATGTAAAAAGACTCAACGAATGTATATTTGCGGGTATATATCAATTGACAATCCTCGACTATCAAAGCAATTTCGAGTCATCATTATCATCAAAGCTAGTATATTCTGATCTACCTGAAAATATTGATAGAACTGCGAGTATACAGGTGGTCCTAACTTTACAATTGCGATATATTGCAGTATGACAGAGTTGGTCAAATATTAAGTAAAAGTTTTCTTAACTTTTCGTATAAGCTTAAATTATGCATCAGCAATTCATTTTTACGTACGAGTATGTGTGACGGGAAGAATCGGTTTATATAAATAAATCGTTCGACTTTATTATAAATAGTAGAGTAAAATTGCATAATGCAAATGTATCTACTGATACAAACTTTTATATATTATTTTTTTATCTTTACTTGATAATGAATTATAGTTAGCCTTATTTAGAGTTGGGAACGTTACTTTAAAAAAGTAATGCGTTACCGTTACCGTTACATTTCGTTAAAAATGAACTTGTTACTGTTACTCGTTACTAATTTCAAAAAGTATTCGTTATCGTATACGAACTGTTACTAAGAAAGTAACAGTTCGTTACATACACTTTTTCGTTTTATAATATTAAAGTAAAATATGTAACTAGTTTTAAAATAAAATTATTGTTTTTATACTTAAATTATTATTTTTAGTGCAGACAGTTCATCTAAAAAGAACAAACTATTTAAAACTGCAATAATCCTGACTCGGAAAACTTCTTTATGAGCTTGATTCTCTCCCTCTCTCTTTTATTTTTTATCTTTTATTATTTTCCACACAAAAATTATTGTCAGTACAGAGTCAGATGTTGCAATTTTGGTTGATATTTGGGATGATATTTTGAAATTTCACATGATTGTTTGCAAAATGCCAAATGCCGTTCGTCTTTGTGCTCTGATTTATATGCTCTACTTTCACACATAATTTTGTATAGGTTGTATAGGTTGTTTAGAAACACACACACACACCTCCTTTGTATACACGAGGAGAACATAAAAATATCTCACACAAAGAAACGTCGTCTTTACATTTTATTAAAAAATTAATATAAAATTTTTGAATAAATGGATGAATCAATATATATTGCGGCGAAGCAAACAGTATTCAAACAGGATATTTTCTACCTCTGACGCTAAGTAACATTGTTTGAAACAAAGGAGTAAACATAAAAAAAGAGCTGAGTGCATCAGCGCAAAATTATGCAATCGCAGAAAAATATTGTTTTGCATGCATTACAATAATAATTGACTTTACGAAGATTTTTTATTATCTCTATCTGTATCATTTATTGCGACTCCACTTCAGCTTTTAAGGTCATATCGATGAAACGAGTCCGTCAAAGACGAACAAAGTTCAATAATATTTATACGTTTTATTCTGTGTTCAAAGATAATTCAGCGTTTCGAGATAAAAGTATAGAGAATTTTAGTTTCCCTTATCGTTAATATACTATTTATGACGGCAGATTTTTTGTCATTCATGATAGACTTCAACAAAATGATAGAATGTGATAAGTCTATCTTTATGATTTCTATCAGTGGCGTAGCCAGGGGGTGGCTGAGGGAGCTGCAGCCTCCTCTCCCAAATTAATTTTCTGGGTTACGCTAAGTATGAGAAAAATTTTTACGGATAATCTTTTTTTTGCTCGTCAAAAATAAAAAGTGCAGTCCCTCCCGAAATATTTTTCTGGCTACGCTACTGATTTCTATCATGTTCCAATGATTGGATATTCTCCTAACAAGAAACGATATAGAACGATGAATATAGAAAAATGATACTGTCTCTTTCGGATGCAACCCAAGTAGCACAGTCTGGCTAAATTAGCTACGACAGTAAAAATATGGCTGGTACAACGTTTTCCCAGCTTAATTACAACTATTTGGCAGCCACAGCTATTTTGACTGCATTTTTAGCTGCGAAAGCGCTGCGACAGCAATTATGAAAGTCAAAATACAGCCACAGCTATTTTGGTTGCATTTTTAGCTGCGAAAGCGCTGCGACAGCTATTATAAAAGTAAAAATACAGCCACAGCTATTTTGGTTGGATTTTTAGCTGCGAATACGGTGCAATAGCTATTATGAAAGTCAAAATACAACCACAGCTATTTTGAATGCATGTTTAGTTGCGAAAGCGCTACAACAGCTATTATAAAAGTCAAAATACAGCCACAGCTATTTTAGCTGGATTTTTAGCTGCAAAAGCTCTGCGACAGGTATTATCAAAGTAAAAATACAGCCACAGCTATTTTGGCTGCATTTTTAGCTGCGAAAGCTCTGCGACAGCTATTATGAAAGTCAAAATACAGTCACAGCTATTTTGGTTGGATTTTTAGCTGCGAAATCTCTACGACAGCTATTATGAAAGTCAAAATACAGCCACAGTTATTTTGGCTAGATTTTTAGCTGCCAAAGCTAACTTTTTAGCAACTTACTTTTTAGCGTACGCTATTGCGCATACGCAGCTTAAATACAGTCAAAATAGCTATAATCTGGCTATAATTTGTATGTTATAGCAAAAGTGAGAAGTAACGTAATGATCAGTTTTATGACGCATCGATCATGTATCAAGTGAATGGTCAGGCGGATCAATGCGTACATTTATACTGCGTGAAAATTGTTACTTAAGGTTCGCGTCTGGTTCTATATGTAGTTATACTTAAGAATTTGCGTCCGCGGGTTATAAATATACATGTACGTTATAAGTTCCCAAGCAAAAATTGATTCTAATGATTCTAGTAATGACACAGAAAAATTGGGTCTTACATCGCTACTAGCTAGAAATGTAACGTTCATTTCTCCTAGTTACTGTACCAGAAAAATTATCTAGTAGCTAGATACAAAAAAATAACTTGTAACTATAATTGGTTTAAGTACTAGACAGTTCTGATATCCAATTTCTATTCAGGATTTACCT